TTCCACATGGTTCTCCCACACTCAGGGTGCTGGGTGGTGACAAAGATTTAAGGTGTTGGCTGCTAACTGATCTACTGTATATTTTGGGAAGTTGTTGTCTATTTTGCTCTGCGTTTGGACACCACTTAAGTTATCATCACTGCATGTTGCACGATGGTTCCTGAGATCAAGGAGAACTGTTACACAAATGCATACATTAGGAGAAAGGATCCATTAAAAATGCATTTATTGCTGAAAATAGCACACAGCGCTTTGTTGTATCAGGGACGATTGCTAGCAAGAAATATTTATACCAGGTTAAATGCACATTACATGGAAGGAACATTCAACACTGATGAATTTACATCCTACGCCCTTTTAAAATGTGTTTTTTGTGGGGGGGGGGCTATTGGGTTGCTGTTTTTATTTTTATTTTTATTATGTATTTTGTGGTTTTATATCTTGATTTTATTCTGTGAACCACCCTGAGACCCTTGGGTATAGGGCGGTATATAAATTCAACAAATAATAATAATGAATTTTCATGAGAACTATTTAATTTTAAATTCCTTTTTAAAAATTACATCATAAATTGATGCAACAAGGCTGCAAAATGAGACAACAACTGGAAAAATGTGACACTAAGAAATACCCAAATTTACAAATTCACCCATCCTTCTTTTAAAACATGCATGAAAATGAGGTGTCAAATTCCTAAGACTGAAGCTGGCAGGAACACTATTAATTCTCTTACATATAAAGGTAAAGGGACCCCTGACCGTTAAGTCCAGTCGTGGACGACGCTGGGGTTGCGGCGCTCATCTCGCTTTACTGGCAGAGGGAGCCGGCGTACAGCTTCCGGGTCATGTGGCCAGCATGACTAAGCTGCTTCTGGCGAACCAGAGCAGCGCATGGAAATGCCATTTACCTTCCCGCCAGAGCGGTACCTATTTATCTACTTGCACTGGTGTGCTTTCGAACTGCTGGGTTGGCAGGAGCAGGGACCGAGCAACGGGAGCTCACCCCATCGTGGGGATTCGAACCGCCGACCTTCTGATCGGCAAGTCCTAGGCTCTGTGGTTTAGACCACAGCGCCACCCGCGTTCCTCCTTTTCTTACATATAGATATAGATTTTAAAAACTGCAGGTGGAAGAAGAGGGGGAAATCGGAATTTGGGGGTTAGGGTGTCCTGAAGTGCCCAGTGCTGGGAGTTTATTCCTATTATTTATTTATTACATTACATTATTATTTATCCCACCTTATTCTTCCAATGAGCTCAGTGTGGCCTGCATCGCTCTCCCCCATGTCATTTGACCCCCACAACAACCTTGAAAGGTAGGTTAGGGTGAGAGACAGTGACCACCCCATGATCACCCTATGAGCTTTGTGGCCGAGTGGGGCTTTGAACCCCGGTCTCCCGAGTCACAGTCCAACATCACCGTACCTCCCTGGCTTCCCCAAAACAGTGCTTTGGCATGGATGTCTCGGGGGCTCCACCGCAACCCACAGACGATTACGGCAAGAGCCCCACAATGCCCCATTTGAAGAAAAAATCACCTGTCCGGCCTCGAACCATTCCAAGCATGTCAGAGGGGAAATTCAAGACTTCCAGAGAGCCCTGGCTTGTGCAATGCCAGCCCACGGGACAGGAGAGGACATTTTCCATCTTAATCCGAACAGGTGACCGGATTGTGCAAGAGGACCGCTTGCCCTTGCAACCCGATCCGGGCCGTCCCTGACAGCAGATGCTATTCTTACTCACCGCAAGGCCTAAGCCTTTTCAGCACCCAGGGATCTGCCACAATCATAAATCCCCAGCAGTAAATTGCCAAATAATTACTCAGTTTACACTTGCATGTCTTCAAGTGATTGTCAGCAACAGGTTAGCAACTTGGGTGCCCACACGGATTACGCTTGTGGGTGTGGGAGAATCTCTCTCCTCTTGCTACGAAAAAGGCTGGGGATTTTCCATAAACGCAGCCTGGGGAGGTCTACATCCTCTCTGCAATGCATCTAAACAGGGCAGAGAGAGGGGAGGAGGGCTCCCATGCGGCTCCATGGTCCCTGATTATCCAGGACAGTCCGAACTTTCCCGGTAAATCACTGCTGCTATGTTTTCCTTGCAGAGATGCCTCCGAAAATGTTGTCAACATGAGCTGCTAGAGGCAGAGGAAAAACTTGGTTCGGTTCACATTTAAAAGTGAACAGGCGAAATCTCCGCTTTCTGAAACCATACGCCAACCCAAACACAGCCACCCTATGAAATCCACCTTTCTCAAAATTTTGCATTGAAGTTCTCCAGCCAAGCAGTGTGTACAGGAATGCATATCCTAGGGGAAAGGGTGCATTTAAAAAATGCATCTGTTGGTGAAAAGAATATACAAAAATACTTTGGGGGGGAAATGTGTGCCATTAGGCAAACATGCATACAACGATGCGCATATTGGCTCTATGGTGGTGATGAATTTTCATGAGGTCTTTAAAAAATATTGCAAACTGGGGTGGAGGATTGAATCCAAACTTGGGAGGGGGGATAAACTGAAATGGAAAGGTTCTCCCATCCTTGGAGGGGGGCATCTAGCATCTAACGCCCACATGATGCTGGTACCAACTGCAATACAAGCACAGGCAGCCCCAACCAGTCCTGCAAAATGACAGGGTCCTGTTCTCACAGTGGCCAACTAGATGCTGTAATAATAATAATAATAATAATAATAATAATAATAATAATAATAATTTATTATTTATACCCCGCCCATCTGGCTGGGTTTCCCCAGCCACTCTGGGCGGCTTCCAACAGAACACTAAAATACAATAACCTATAAAACATTAAAAGCTTCCCTAAACAGGGCTGTCCAGATGTCTTCAAAAAGTTTGGTAGTTATTTTTCTCTTTGACATCTGATGGGAAGGCGTTCCACAGGGCGGGTGCCACTACCGAGAAGGCCTTCTGCCTGGTTCCCAGTAACTTGGCTTCTCGCAGTGAGGGAACCGCCAGAAGGCCCTCAGCCCTGGACCTCAGTGTCTGGGCTGGATGATGGGGGTGGAGACGCTCCTTCAGGTATACTGGACCGAGGCCATTTAGGGCTTTAAAGGTCAGCACCAACACTTTGAATTGTGCTCGGAAACGTACTGGGAGCCAGTGTAGTTCATTCAAGACCAGTGTTATGTGGTCTCAGCAGCCGCTCCCAGTCACCAGTCTTGCTGCCGCATTCTGGATTAGTCGTAGTTTCCGGGTCACCTTCAAAGGTAGCCCCACATAGAGCGCATTGCAGTAGTCCAATGGGGAAGCCTGCAAGCAGGACCCGAGTCAACAGCACTCTCCTTATTTGCGATTCCCAGCAAGAGCTATTGCTTTAGTCTGAGTGGATACAGCAACCCGGATACAGGGCCAGATTCAATTAAACCATTCCTGTAGCACTAACCAGCACAATGACTCCCATTAGCAGAACAAGGATTTCCCTCCCTCTCCTGCCACTGCTGTTTCCCCAAAATCTGCTCTGGAGCTTTTGGGGAACCCCCAGATCAGCATATACAGAGTGGGAGAAGTGAGGAGGTTGTTCCATTGGGCAATCAGAAATGCCTGAATTGACGGAATAACTGAATTTCACCCCTAGTTCTCCAGATCCTTTCTGGATCCGTACCGACACGGGATGTTCTGAAAGGTGCCGTGAAGGGGGAACCACAGAATCTGGGGCTAGATGTGGAGTATCTTGAGAAATGCAAAAAAAGTGCAAAACTTCTTTAAAGGGGTCCAAAGGTTTGCATGTCTGTCTGTCAGTGTGGTGTAGTGGTTAAGAGCAGTGGACTCGTAATCTGGTGAACTGGGTTCGCTTCCCTGCTCCTCCACCTGCAGCTGCTGGGTGACCTTGGGCCAGTCACACTTCTCTGAAGTCTCTCAGCCCCACTCACCTCACAGAGTGTTTGTTGTGGGGGAGGAAGGGAAAGGAGAATGTTAGCCGCTTTGAGACTCCTTAGGGTAGTGATAAAGCGGGATATCAAATCCAAACTCTTCTTCTTCTTCTGTCTGAACGTTCGTCTGTGACTGAGAGTGTGTTGCTCACTTTGGCCACACGATATTGGTTGCTGTTAGGCTTCCTCAGGCAGCAGCTGATCTCCCCTGACTAGGCAAAGCTGGCAGCTGCCAGAGCAAACAACTGAACAACTGCTCTCGAAAGACAGCCACAGCTGCGGAGGAAGGTGGGGCAAGTCCTTCTCCTGCCTAAGAATGAGGGACAAGCTGACAGTAAAGGAAGCCCTTCCTGTCCTGGCCAGCTGTCCCGAATGATGCGGAATTCGCTCCCACAGTGATGGCCACCGACTTGGGTGGCTTTAAAAAGAGGATTCGATAAAGGAACGAAGGGAAAGGCTGTCAGTGGCTGCTACACACAATGGCTGTGCACCATCGCTCCTATCAGAGGCAGCATGCTGGGAATCACCAGTGCAGAGAAGGAGCAAGAGGGGGAGTTTGGCTTTGATATCCTGTTTTATCACTATCCTAAGGAGTCTCAAAGGGATGTGGGTGGCACTGTGGGTTAAACCACAGAGCCTAGGGCTTGCCGATCAGAAGGTCGGCTGTTCGAATCCCCGCGACGGAGTGAGCTCCTGTTGCTCGGTCCCAACTCCTGCCATCCTAGCAGTTCAAACGCATGTCAAAGTGCAAGTAGATAAATAGATCTGGCGGGAAGGTAAACGGCGTTTCCGTGCGCTGCTCTGGTTTGCCAGAAGCGGCTTAGTCATGCTGGCCACATGACCCGGAAGCTGTACGCTGGCTCCCTCGGCCAATAAAGCGAGATGAGCGCTGCAACCCCAGAGTTGGCCATGACTGGACCTAATGGTCAGGGGTCCCTTTACCTTTACCTTTAAGGAGTCTCAAAGTGGCTAACAATCTCCTTTCTCTTCCTCCCCCACAACAAACACTCTGTGAGGTGAGTGAGGCTGAGAGACTTCAGAGAAGTGTGACTGGCCCAAGGTCACCCAGCAGCTGCATGTGGAGGAGCGGGGAAGCGAACCCGCTTCACCAGATTACGAGTCCACCGCTCTTAACCACTACACCACACTGGCTCTGAGAGCTCCTGCACCCAGGTCATTATGATGTCGGGTGATTGGCACGTGGGTGGTTCCGCCCACCGGCCTCAGGTGGCCCGTGAGTTGTATAATCTGGTGAGAAAGGTTGCCCACTCCTGGGCTGGAACAAGGGTGGCCAACATGGTTCCCTCCAGATGTTATTGGACTACAAGCTCCCCATCCAAAGGAATACACATGCCAGATAATTAACTTCTTGTCAAAGCTGATAGTTGTTTCTATGGGTCCAAATACACCCCCCCCAATCTAACTTCTAGACAGCTATTCCCAGATCCGTGATCTGCGGAGCAGTTGCAGCAATGGGGTCCACTCCCCCTCCAATAGCTTAAGTAGCTCCCCCTGATGGGCTGCAAGACATGCAGCCAGAGACGGTGCCTACATGGAAACTTCCTCTGCTCCTCCCCTTTTCAACCCGCTCCTGGTTCTGGGAGACAGTGGTGCAGGAGAGGCTGGGGAAGTGCCCGGCCCTTCACTTGCCTAACCTGCCTCTTCCTCCTCGCCTTCCAACCCATATTGAGCTCCACTCTCCAGCTCAGAAGCTTCCTCTGCCTCAGACTCTTGTCTTCCCCACAAATCACTGCCCCCCACTCCTGAGTCAGACTCCAGGCCGCTTCCCCCTGGCCATCAATGTCCTGCCAGTCCCCGACACCTGATCACTGGCAATGCTGGCAGAAGCTGATGGGAGTTGGGAGTCCCAACAGAATCTGGAGGGCCACAGGGTCCCCAGCTGTGGTTTAAACCATACTCTGCTTGGGACCTGCCAAGGAGGAAGCTGAAGGGAGAGTGCTCCTTCGTTGCAGCTCTTCAAACAGAGGGTGGGTAAGAGGTGCTCTAGCCCTGGGGCTCCTGCACAGAGCAGAGGAGCTGGACCCAAGGGTGCCAACTGGAATAAAATATTGTGGGGGCCCAGGTAAGCCCTGCCCCACATAATCAATCACATAATGCAGTGCAACCACACCATTTGAATGGCAGTGCCCATCAACTTTGGGGGGCTCCAGCCCCCTCAAATATTTTATTGTGGGGGCCAAAGCCCCCATGGCTCTTATGGTTGGACCAGATAGCCTACGAGGCTGTCTTCCACTCTTGTGAGTCTAGGCAGCGCTAAGTAGAATTATGGAGAATGCACTTTGAACATAAGGTGCAACAAAGCAGAATACAGTATGACTGCATCTGATGAACAATTAATCCGTGTGATTTCAACCTTGCGTGGTTGAAAGTCGATTCATTGAAACTGTCAAATTACATGCCCGCAAGGCAGAGAGCTTAAAGGCTCTTTTTGCACTACATTTTCCCAGCCTTCCAGAGCTTCTAAGCCAGCCTTTCTCAACCAGTGGGTCCCCAGATGTTGTTGAACTACAACTCCCATCACCCCTAGCTAGCAAGGCCAGAGCTCAGGGATGATGGGAGTTGTAGTCCAACAACATCTGGGGACCCACAGGTTGAGAACCACTGTTAAGTCCCACTCCACACGTGGGCTCTGGGATGCTCTTGTGAGAATGCCCTGCAAAATCTTCTGAGAACATCCTGGAAGCCTCACACTAAGCAGGACTTGCCCAGTTAAGCAAGGCGGACAGTTTAAAACTTCTCCACATTACTTTGGGGGTGGGTAAGGCCCCCTTGGCACAGAGGATGGTTCTAAGGGGGTGGTTGGGTATATGCATTTTTGTGTGTATGCCCCATCCCCAGAAGGTAACCCCCCACACGAGATGCAATGGTGTTGTTGTTGTTTAGTCGTTTAGTTGTGTCCGACTCTTCGTGACCCCCTGGACCAGAGCACACCAGGCACTCCTGTCTTCCACTGCCTCCCGCAGTTTGGTCAAACTCATGCTGGTAGCTTCGAGAACACTGTCCCGCCATCTCGTCCTCTGTCATTCCCTTCTCCCTTGTGCCCTCCATCTTTCCCAACATCAGGGTCTTTTCCAGGGAGTCTTCTCTTCTCATGAGGTGGCCAAAGTCTTGGAACCTCAGCTTCAGGATCTGTCCTTCCAGTGAGCACTCAGGGCTGATTTCCTTCAGAATGGATAGGTTTGATCTTCTTGCAGTCCATGGGACTCTCAAGAGTCTCCTCCAGCACCAGAATTCAAAAGCATCAGTTCTTTGGCGATCAGCCTTCTTTATGGTCCAGCTCTCACTTCCATACATCACTACTGGGAAAACCATAGCTTTAACTATACGGACCTTTGTTGGCAAGGTGATGTCTCTGCTTTTTAAGATGCTGATGCAGTGGTACTGTATAATAAATCCTCACCAATAATACTGATGGGAGATGAGAACATGCATGCAACAGAAGAAGAAGAAGAAGAGTTTGGATGTGACTAGCCCAAGGTCACCCAGCAGCTGCATGTGGAGGAGCGGAGACGCGAACCCGGTTCCCCAGATTACGAGACTACCGCTCTTAACCACTACACCACACTGGCTCCCAGCCGCACACATTTTCACGGCACCAGCTGACCGCTCCCCGCGCCTCTCCAAAGCCCATCACCATCTCACGAAGCAACCACCCAGCTTCCCAGCCTTTGCAAACTCTCAGCCATGACTTTGATTCGCTACATGACATTTGCTACAATTTTCCGACCCGTTTTCCAGAAAAGTAGTTCCACGAGACCAGGCTGATTAGCCTCCGGGCAAGTAGCTCCCTGTTCGGTTTATTATAAATCTCGGGCCTCAGATTACATCATGCCCGAAAATTGAAACGCAAGTCAGATGGTTAAGGCATCAGCCGCGGCGGCTCTGTGGAGACTCAACAATGCAAGCCTTCCCCAAATGACCCATCACGACCTTCCCTGGGCTGATAATAAAAAACAGTGACATCATGTGCAAATGAGTTTTAAATGCAAACCAGGTGCATGGGCCAGGAGTATTATGGGCCACAGAGCAAGCTGACAACAGCCCGGGAGCTGGGCTCAGCGCCTTCAGTATTCAGAAAAGGCTGCCACCAGCCTTGATTTGAAGTCAAGTTCCGGTGGATGCGGTTTCCCCCCTTGAAATCCTATAAATTATGGTGCACCATTTGGACATGCTGCTTGGATGTGAAAAAAGCTCTCTGCATGTAGAAAGCCAGCCTCTCAGGGCAAAAAAATAAAATGTGGTGGTAAAATTCAGAGACAGTAAGAGTGGGCTGTGCAATGTACCACTTCAGGCTGCAGGTGGGGGCTGCCCACATTTTGGGATGTTCCTCCACGTTGCAAAAACAAAATCCCTGCAAATAAAAAGCTAGCACATTAAGGAGATGTCCCTATGGCAGTTTCATACCTGCAGGGAGGTGTGTTTTGCTTTGGAAGCAGAACCACAGACGAGTTAAAAAGCATGGTTCCTCAACTTGCCACGTGACGTTAAGTAGCCCATTCTGCAGTCTCTGGCACCCCTTTTCCATCTTGGTGGAGATCAACAACAGGTAGGGTTGAAATATTGTCACACCTGGCTGTCAGCTGCATTTGGAAGGGGAGGGACCTTGACTCATTGGAAGACCACTTGCAAAAGCTCCCAGGTTTAATCTCGGCTAACATATCCACATAAAAAAATTATTGGGTGGCAAATAATAGAAGCGAACCCGCTTGCTGGACCAAGACAGAGTAGGGAAGGCTGGACTTCGTGGACAAAAAGGCAGCTGCCCATATGCCCATGGCAGGTGGAAGATGAATGCACTTAGGACAGGCCTGGGGAGCCTGTAGCCCTCCAGAATTTGTAGGACTACACCTTCCATCATGCATGGCAATTCTGGCTAGGACTGATGGGTACTGTAGTCTAGCAAATGCCTAGCTACAAACGCTTGCAATTCACCTGGGAGGTGTGTTGTTGTTTTTTGCACGTTAAGTGTCAAGTCCCACTGTTGCGAGTGGAGCCAATGGGCAGAGGCAGCACAAGCAGAACGCCCCTTCACTTGCAGTCCTAGGGCTTCTATTTAAAAGTGAGGTGCTGTTATGTACTGAGTTGAATAGGATCCAAAATGCAGCAGTCTGATTGGTCCTAGAACAATAGGATCCAAAATGCAGCAGTCTGATTGATCCTAGAAGAATAGGATTCAGAATGCAGCAGTCTGGTTGGTCCTAGAACAATGCAGCAGTATGATTGGTCCGCAGGAGCCACCCAATCCAGCTCCAGGTGGGAGTGAATCCGCAATCTGATTGGCCTACAGGAAAATCCTGGAATTAGCCAATCACGTGCGGCCCATTGTGTAAATAATGTATATAAAGCAGATATTTTGGGAGAACTTTCATTCCTCGCTACTATGAGCTGAATAAAGAGCATAGAATATATTTCAGGTGCCTTTAATTAATTTATTCTAGAACGGGTCAACTTGGAACCTCATAGCACACCATACTATGCGTGCAGCCTGGGAACTCTCCACATCTGTAGACAATGAAGATAACCTGTAGATCGGAGTGTGTGTGCCCCCCCGCCCTGTCTGCCCAGCAGAGAGATGGAGATTATATTGCTCCCATGAAGGTGTGACTTGCCTCCATTCCATTTAACAGAGTGTCAACTTCAAAGGCTGAGCCTAACCATTGAAACCAGCAGTTTCTAAAAAGCTTGTCGCCCAAGATGCTGCCCATGATTGATTTTCGTTTACTGGCAGTGCCTTGAAATGGTGGGCTTCCCTACATCGCAGCACCGAGACGATAAAGGAAGCTTCCCAACACTGTGATTTTGAGCCACTTGTACATCCCTGGGTCTGGACATCTAGTTAAGGCTTCTGGTTATGATTGCAAACCCATTCTCCTCCTTTTCTTGCAGGGCCAGGAAGTGTAGGCTGGCGGTTGAGCTGATACGCCCATTCATGTTTACTCAGAGTTAAGTCCCGATGTGTTCAGTGGGGCTTACTTCCAGGTAAGTGTGCATCCGGTTGCAGTCTTAGCAACGGGGCAGGCTTCTTCCTAAGCAGTTGGCTCCTTACCTCTCTCGCCCTGACCTAGCCACTGTGATCCACGCGACGGTCACCTCCAGACTGGATTATTGTAACTCGCTCTACGTGGGGCTGCCCTTGAGGCTGACCCAGAAACTCCAGCGGGTGCAGAATGCCGCGGCGAGACTCCTTATGGGGTCCTCGCTGCGGGATCACATTCATCCGGTACTATACCAGCTGCACTGGCTCCCGGTGGAGTACAGGATCAGGTTTAAGGTGCTGGTTTTAACTTTTAAAGCCCTATACGGCCTAGGACCCTCGTACCTACAGGACCGCCTCTCCTGGTATGTCCCATGGAGGACCTTACAGTCTTCAAACAAAAACATATTGGAGGTCCCAGGCCACAGAGAGGTTAGGCTGGCCTCAACCAGAGCCAGGGCTTTTTTGGCTGTGGCTCCGATCTGGTGGAATGCTCTGTCACAAGAGACTAGTGCCCTGCGGGACTTGACATCTTTCCGCAGGGCCTGCAAGACAAAGCTGTTCCACCAAGCCTTTGGCCAGGGCACAGCCTGACTCCCTCCTTTGGCAATCTTCACAGAACTCTAGCCCAATGGTTGCCATCAATTTGATTTGAATTAATTTTATAATGAAATGAATTTAGAATGTTGTATTATTTGATTGTTGTTAGCCGCCCTGAGCCCGGCTTCGGCTGGGGAGGGCAGGATATAAATAAAAAAAATTATTATTATTATTATTATTATTCCTTCTTTTAAAGGTGCAGGAGCCAGTCCAGGGGAAAATGGGGACCACAGACAAATCCTAAATGCAACCAAATTAGTACATTTTATTTCATGTAGTGACGGGAGAGAAATTTGGCTCTGTTTACGTTTCTAAGCAAACCTAGTTGAACTGAAACGCAGCCATCCTTTGAAATTCTCACTTCCCAGAATGTTGAAGCACGGTTCACCAGTCAAGTAATGCGTACAAAGAGCCGCATACTGGGGTGACGTATGCATAAAAATGCATCTATCGGAGGAAACAGCATACAAAAATGTATTCGGTAAGGGAAAATTGCTTTCAGAAAATGTGTATATTGGGGGAAAATGCACATAAAGATGTGTGCTTTAGGATAAATTTGCACCAAAATGCTGCTGGGTTTTCATTAGTATTTGCTTCTAAAAAAAAATGGAAACTGGTGTGGGATTGTAAAGAACTGAATATTGGGTGGGGGGAATGGAAAAATATAGAAACTGAGGGAGCTTTGATAAAGCGCTTATGTAAACCAAGTTCCCCAGTGGTCTCCCATCCAGTCACTGACCAGACCAAGACCTGCTTAGCAGGAATAAGGCTTTGGCATAAAGTGCCTTCAGGCCATAAGAGGTTTTCTTCTTTTCTTCCCTGGCAGGTCTATTTCAATCTTCCAACAGCTGCGTAAGAGGCAGAAAACAGCAGGTTAAGCTTTTTCCCATCGTTGGATCTCTATGCCAGGGAAGCTTCACATCTTGATAGCCGAGAGTTACGCAGCCAACAAAAACAGTGGTGTGGCAGCAGCAAAATTTTGAAGCTCAGCATGTCAGCGCCTCCGAAAAAAAGAGGGTGCATAGCCACATTCCCCAAGGAGAATCGAAAAATGCAGGCAGCTGTGTCTATTTTATATATCCCCCACAAAGAACAACAGCACATAGCATAGTACCAGCTGACAGTCATAGAACAGTGAGCTGGTAGAGCATGTTGGAATCTGACCAGCAAGTCTTGGTCCTATTGGGACTGGAAATCTCTATCTCTAGATTTTAAAGATCTATGGTCCTACTGAGACTATAGGGGTGGCATCCAGCTAACACATCCCATCAGCGCAAGGATTTACCCCTGCGCAACAGAGCTTTCCATCCCTCTCCTCCACCCGTGCATGTCCCACGCCCTTCCAAAATCCGCTCTAAAGGATTGGGGAACCCCGGATCATATTTAGCGGGTGCACAGAGGAAGGAGAGGTGGGGTGGGTGGGGGAAGTCCCACTGTGCAGGTGTGTATCTTTCCTCTGACAGGACACATTTGTTGGATGCCACCCAAGTTCTATAAAATCCATAGCACGGCCAATGGTCCAGCACTGAATCACAGAATCATGGGACTGAGGAGTCGGAAGAGTCATCTGGTCCAACCTCCCTAAAATGCAGGAGGAGCAATGCAAGTCGATAGGAGTCAGGAGTACATCATCTAAAAAGCTAAAGGGGCCCCTGACCATTAGGTCCAGTTGTGGCCGACTCTGGGGTTGCGGCGCTCATCTCGCTTTATTGGCTGAGGGAGCCGGCGTACAGCTTCTGGGTCATGTGGCCAGCATGACTAAGCCGCTTCTGGCGAACCAGAGCAGCGCACGGAAACGCCGTTTACCTTCCCACCGGAGTGGTACCTATTTATCTACTTGCACTTTGACGTGCTTTCAAACTGCTAGGTGGGCAGGAGCAGGGACCGAGCAATGGGAGCTCACCCCGTCACGGGG